AAGGGTTGAAGACATGGTTAAAGGTGTGATCGGTGCTCTCCCAGTGGGAAGGGAGGGAGAAATGGGCCAGCGCTCATATCGAACAGTACAGAGAGATGCTGGCCTTAAAATAAACCCATGCAGGGATCTGTGCAATACCCCCAGGGGCTGATGAGTTGCCCAGCGAGAGGCACAGATCATACAGCACAGTGCCTACCTGGAGAGACAACCTTGGATGATACGCCTTGCAAAGAAGTGACTTGGAGCACCTGCTCCAACCACGGTCCCTGGGGAAAGAAGAGAGAGAGAGAGGAGAGGTGGGTGGATATTCATCTGCAGTGACCCATTAGCATCAAAGATGTAACAAAGAAATCAAAATCTTAAATCAACAGGCCACAAGAGGGTATTGCTTTCTTGGTTATTGGGATGCGGTCTTGATTTGCCACTAAGCATGATGTTCCCTGAACCACTACGGACCCTTAAAACAGTGGTGAAAACCTTCACGTGGTTTATTGCTGTCTCAGTGCACAGGCTGCATGCTTAAGAAAGCACCTCTAGTCTTCAGCAGCAACAGGAGTAGTCCCAGCTCCCATTCCATGAAGCATCTCATTTAAATAACATTACAGGTTTAGTGATTTCTTGAGTCTTGACTCCCTCAGACAGAAACAAAGTTCCACCATGAGCTTCCAACAGACCTGCTGCCTCCTTGAGCAAAGCATCACTTCTCTAAAGGATGATGAACCAGCACCCACAATAGCTTAGGACCCTACAAAGCAGCCCCTTGAATTTACACTAGGCATTTCTAGCTGCTTTTCTAATCAGGGATGAAGTCTTTAGTTACTCCAAATTGTCAAAATTTTTTCATCCCATTTTCCCTGGCTCCTTCTCCTTCCTTAGACTGCAGGAATTTGTACACAGCAGGGATTTGGCAGCAGGAGGTTACAGAAGGGTCCGCCAACCACCCCCACTGCAGGTGGTGCTGCTCTGCAAAGAAACCTCCAAACCCAAACTACAAGGCTGTCGTCTATTTTAAAGTGAGGCATCACTGAATAATGCTATAGATCAGCCACAGGGGAGTTTGCTTAGTGGAGAGCTTGGCCAAAGAGGACTTTGACAACTGCAAAGACATTTACATGGGAAGGCCAAATTGACCTCATGCATACTCTGCCTTTCCAGAACTGAAAGGAAGGACAGTGGGTGTGGAAGCATCTCCAGGAGCTAAATGATATCCATGTGTTAGTAGAAAACAGAGTTGCCAGAGATGTACAGAAACAGGTTCAATCTTGACTGATTTTTTGCATATTTAAAAATTAGGTCATATTGTTGCTGCAGGAGCTCCAGCTGCTGGGGGTGGGGTGGTGGTTTTCGAGTTGCTTGATCATGTAGTTAGTACTGCTAGCACTGTGGCAGCAGAGTAGGTAGCAAGCATGGTTGCTTATTCACACCATGTACTGTGGGGAAGAGGGAAGCAGCTGAAAGCAACCAGCTAGATTTAATTGCACTCTGAAAAACCCTTACAGAGAGCTCAAACTGAGCAAAACTCATGCCAAGGCTCAGGCTTTGGAAAAAAAACATAAAGACTACTACTTTGGGCGCAGCTATCTTGAGAAATAGCTCTCCTGCAAGGGAGAATTGAAGGCAAGACATTCAGCACAGGTCTGAGCATGCAATAACCTAAGATGCTAATGCTCATGGACCAGGAATAAGAAGAGAAAAAGCACCTGTGCAGTTGACTTCACCCAAGCAGACTGTAGGAGGCTCACCCAGCCCATTCCCAAATAACCTCCCATTTCACGAGCACAGGGTGAACAGGACAGTGGCAGTGAACTTCTAGACAGTCCAGTCTTCCTCATACTGTCTTTACTGAAAAGAGTTTTCTTTGAAATCTTCACTCTCCTCCCACATTTTGCTGTTCAAGTGTATTGCTAAGGGGAGCGATTGGCTTAGGCTCTCCTCTCGTCTCATCTCTCCTGTATATAGATATGTGTATATATATACATACACACACATATTGCTAATGCTTCAGGTGCATAATTACTCCTTTTCCTCCTCCTCCAGCCAAGGAAACATATTCCTTTCAGGGCCTGAAAAGAACAATGGTTAAGTCCAACCTCCCAGCCACGTGAAGCACCTGGAGCAATATACTCAAGTTCTTGTTACAGCTCCAGTTATCCATTTCACAATAAATATTTTACAGTGAACACTGCAGTGAAGCTTTCATTTGGCAAAGATAAAACGAGCTTTGAAGCTAAGGTTATGTATGTTTTATGCTGCTGCACAAGCTCATATTACCAGATAGCTGAAAGAGCCACTCACAAGATAACAATAGGTTGGGAACTACAGTAATTTCAGCAGAAAACTAAAGATCAATGATGTTCTTCAGCCTCTATACACTTCGTAGGAAGCAAGAAGTGTGTTATGTGAACAGACCCCAGGGGTCTACTCCCACACTAAACTGAGAATTTTACCACATAGTTAATCCAGTAGCACAGGACATGGGAAACCAGACTTTGTGCTCCTGCTGCCCCAAGAGCAGTAAGAGCAAAGGCAGGTCAGGGACTCTAAATGTCAGCTTTCCCCATCTATAAAGGGGACATCACACCCCTTCCCTCTCTCAGGAGGAGAATGTCTCCAGCCTTGGTCCTCACAGCCTTTTGTCGTAGCACAGCGAGCTCCCAGGAAGTATACTGCAACAACCGCACGTACAAGCACACATTTGTTCTCATCTCCAAGAGTGTCACAGAGCCCTTTGTTTTGCTGTGATATGGTTAAAGATTGCAAGCTGCTCAGGAAGCTCAGGAATGAGGGCTGAGCAATCACTTTGGAGCCCAACGGAAACGATGGCACACCACTATTTCAGACAAAGGAACAGGACTTCTGAATTTAGGGTTACTGAAATGCACTGGTTATGCAATGCTCAAGAGGGACCACCTTCCCCCACATCATAGTTGCCCTGCTATTGCCTATTGTGAGCCTTCCCAGCCAGCCTCAACCAAGGGCTAGGATGAAAATCATGTCACTCACCTTCCATTTTAGGACAAGGACTTTGCAGTGGATGAATTTGCACTCTTCACATACTGCAGCATTGCACTGTGCAGCCCTATAGCAAGAACAAAACCCCAAATACCAGTACACCTCAAACTAGGGAGCAAGTTTCTAATAGGGAAGCTGTTTTAATCTATTTTCAGCACAGGAGTTATTCCAGCCCTTACCAGTGCAGGACTCCGCCAGACAAGCAAATGTTGCATTGTGAAACTGATTTCACTAAGCAATATAAATGATCTATTCAGCAAGCTGTGTGCGCCATGTGTTCCAAAAGCCATTTGATGTGCCAGCACAAGTAGGATTTTGACCCTTAAGTAAGGAAAAAAACAAAAAAGGACTAATTTCCAGAAATGCAGCTGTGTAGCCTTATACTGTAAGTGTAGCCAAGTGTGTCTAGTTCACTAAGGGGCATGCAAGACTTTGATTTGCATCTAATGCTTCTAAATACTTTGAAGTTGGGGGGAAGGGGGGAAAAGAAACCCAAAATCCCCACAAAACCAAAAAACTTCACACACTCTCAGCTCAGCTTTTAAAAGTCTAAATCCATCTAAGTTAGAAAATCCAAATCCTTTATTTTCTACTCCTTAATAAGGAGTGTTTTCTTGGGAAAATACAAGGGAGGGAGGGGAAAATAAAAGATAATTCCTGCCCAACACTTCTGGAGACTGTCTTGCAATAAGAAAAGCCTGTCTATGGCTCAGCCTGGTCTATTGGTTCAGTTCAGGAGATCCTGGATCAGGCCCTGCTCTGAGGACTATCCACCATTTAGACTCTGTATGGGTCTCATCACAGCTGTGTATCTGCACCCAGCCTGCGAGTGCGTTACGCAGCTGCTCTGTGCTCTCTATCCTCTGGAGAGCTGCAAAGTGTTTTGCATTTTTGTGTGTTTATAGATGAACACAATGCCTTAACAAGAGAGCAAGGGCAAAGCCCTGCACCTCACACTTGGAGGTGCCAGATCTGGGATGACCCAGGGATCTTCTCCTGCAGCAGCCCTACCTGAGGCCATTCCCTTACCCCCAGAAGGTCAGGGCTGGTTAATGGGGGTTCAGTTGACTCTTCAGATCTAGTTTTTGAATCAGGTCCTGCAGAGATTTTATATGTTTATTTTAAACCAGGTAAATAGAAAGTAGTCAAGTTCTAGTTCCCGGTAAACACTCACTTGTAAGGTGGCAACTGGGATCGACCTCCAAGTCTGTTCCAGTCTGGAGTCCAGCACAGGCTGATGCTGCAGCATCAGGTCTTTGCACCAAGGTGGATCATACAACCCATCTACAGGAACGGAGCACTATGGCTCTGCTCTTCTTCTGTAGGTTTACTAGGATAGCACTGATGCAGAAAGACAATCTGCCCTGTGAGGAACAGGTCAGGAAAGATTTCAACAGATCCCCTTCACAGCATTAGGGTTTTGCAAAACATTAAGCACGTGAAGGCATTTCATTTATGAAGCAGTTTTCAGTCAAATATTTATTGCATTCCTTATAAAACAGTAAAAAGCACCAGATCCACTGAGACAAATCTTCCCAATTCAAGACATTTAAATACATATTGCAAACCAATTCTTTTGAGTATTGTGCATATAAAAGTGTCACAGTTCAGGTAGTACAGCATAGATTCTTTTTCTTCTTTTCTATAAAAAAACCAGACAATCTTTTGATTTCAGTCTCTAGTCCTGACAAAAAGTTACACCCAGCTGGCCAGCCAGGGGAAGTACATATCCATACCCCTAACCTCAACGTGCCTGCATGCATACAGGTTAGGGTCGGACAGGTAAGCAGATACTGCTCAAGCCTGTACAGGACGCACAGATACCATCCCAAAGAGACAACTGCAGAAGGATAGGTCTAGCTGAGGCAGGCAAAATGATCTCTGCAGATCTATAGGGATCAACTATCATTCCCCATCCTGCCCTTCCTTGGCCAGCTCAAGAATCACAGTGCTACTTTCCTTCTTCCACCTCCCTTCTCTCAGTGTTGTCAGATGACCACTTGATAGCTGGGCTGCTTCATCTTCTGGTTCATTCCCTGGAGTCCTGAAATATCCTGGTCGCTTTCAGATTGATCAAAATCCATGTCTGGAGAGAGTAACACCTAGAAAGGAGAACAGACAGATGCCGATGGAGTGAAAGTTCTCAGCTCTTCTTGATACTGTTTGCTGAAGGGGTCAAGCACCCCTAGAGGGGTTTGCTGCAAGATCTAATCCTCTCTGGCAGATGGGAAAGGTCTCAAGGCCACCTTGACCATCTCTGCAATGACATCCAGACAGATTTGGGTACAGACACTGTGATGATGTCCCAAAACACCCCCCTAGAGCGCAGAACAGGCAGCTAAAAGCTCTGTTCACCATGGGACAGGACTCACACATGGACATGCATGTTCAGGCCAGGCTGCAGCCTCAGTGGAGATGTACAAGAACTAGGCCACATATTTTGTAAACAGCTGTACCAAACATAGACCTTTTTCCCAGGCCCCCAGCTGCTTGCTGTCTCCAGAGCTCAGCCAGAAGAGCAGGCAGAGCTACAGGGTTAGCTTCAGCCATGGCCAGCAAGCTCAGGAGTGGCGTCCTAGCCTGGTAGTATCTTATTTCTACCTGGCACAGCAGCTCCTGGCTCAGTCCAAGTTGTGGGAGCCAAAATAGAGCACTGACACCTCTCACCGGTACCTCTCCAGGCAAGAAAGCCCCCAGCTTTGCTGCATGATCAAAAGGCTGCCCGTTGCCTCCAGGAACACCTACGCTCTCAGTAGCTAACTTCAGGCTTGAAGCTACCAACAGGCTGTTTTGAGCTAACTGGCTGCCACGAGCCTGGAGCGTTTGCACGATGCAGACGGAGCCACGCGTGGGGCATCCTCCAGCCACATCATCTGGAAGAGGAAAAAGGCCGGATTTTACTTGGGCTATGGCTGCACTAACTGCAGAAGAGCTGAAACCCAGTGCTAGCCAGCAGGCTGGATGGACGAGCAGTTTGCACGGGTAATATTCATGGCTTGACAGATCATTTGCTCAACCCCATCTTCTTACCTCAAACACCCAGCTTTGGGCAAGAGAAGCCCTGCTGTCATTACCCCTGACAGTAGCTACCTCTAAGCACAGCTGAACTGCAGTCAACCCTTGTGCTACAGCTTGTATCATGCCCAGCAGTACTCAGGATCTCAGTCAAACCATGGGATTTCTGGTGAATGCTAGTCATCCACATCAGAAGCCTGGCCAGGTCCTTGGCACCTCAGCCCCCAACTCTACTGAGGGGCACAAGCCTAACAGCCCACTCAAGAGCCTCCAGTTTTATTTCCCTAGATGAGCAATGCCTGCAGCCCTTTCCCCCTCCTCCACTTGCCCATCACAGAACCCGAACAGCATCATTAATTCACGGCTGATGCAGGGACAAGGGGCAGGTACCACAACCACCCCCACAAACATAGCTTCCTCCAGCAAGGCAGTGTAGACCTCCCACCCAAACCTCAGCCCCACCTGACCCCGCTTTGCTCCAAAGGCTGAAGCAATGCACTACGAAGCCTCCCTGTGCCTGATTGACAGCAGCCTTCCAGCTCAAAGGCACAAGTCAAGGGATGGTGCATGGGCTTTCAGCCAAGCACGTTCACCTACAGAACATCCCCAACAGCTCGGTCAGTCCCAAAGCTCAGGCAAAACCAAGAGCACAGGGGAATTAGTTTCATCCATGGCTATCTCCGGGCACACTTGTGAATTAGCATGCCCTCCATTTGTTAGCACTTAGACAGCACTACTGGGCCAGTCACCACAGCAACAAAACGACTAAACAGGAAAAACAAACTGCAATGAGTCAATGACTTCAAAGGAGGAGAAGAGCCGCAGGGGAAGATTTCCTCCCCACCCTCACGCACACTCCAGCCCCTCCATCTGATGTTGTTATCTTCACAGCAGCATGTTAGACACTCAAAGGATAGCAGTAGATCAGATTAAGCTTTCTCATGTCTCCCCCCTAGGTCTCAAGGAATGTTTTTTGGTTCAAGACACACACTGGAAAGTCTCCATCTCTCCCAAGTGAAAATTTCCTCTGTTTAACTTATTAATATCGTGATGCTGTTGAACCTGAAAAAATGAGCGGATAGTGCTGCGTGTGAGTAATTATAAACTCATTGAACTCTGACAGGCTGCAACAGGCTAGTTTTAGGGCCTAATGAACTGGTAATTTCAGTGGGTTTCAGCTGCAAACTCAAATCCCCTTGCAGCCAACCGTGGCTGACTGAGCAGGCACTAAGCGTTGTGCATCCAGACCCATTCAGGCTGCTACCTGCCCACCATACAACTTGTATGAAGCTGCTGGAGCCAACAGTCCCCCAGTAACCTTTCCACAATTCCTCAGGGAGCATCATCACAAGACAGCACCTCATCGCTATGACAGTCATGGGACATACCCTCCGATATTGTTTTCAAGCCAAGTTTGGGAGTTTTCAGCACAACTTGGACAAGGCGCTTCTCCTGCAGATGCATCCAGGTCAGGATCACAGCAGGTCAGTGGCACAGCTGGGAATGGACCATAGTTTCCCAGTCTTGGGACAATGTGCTACTGTCTCACTCAGCAGTCCTTAAATACTTCGTGCATTCCTCCCTGCACTGGGAGGCCAGCAGCTTGCAAAACAACGAAACAACGTGGGTCACACTACTGAAACAGGACTGCCCATGTGCTCTGCCAACCCCTCCTGTCCAGAGGAAGGGGCTGCCTACTGGTTTGGTAGTCCATCCAAGCAGACCCTCCAGATAACCAAGCCATCTCAGTGGCAGAGAAAGAGACTGCACAGACAGATGAGAACTATGACACAGGTTGTAAAACAAAGAAGCTCTGGGGCTATTTCCCTACTAGTGGTGGAAACCTGTTTGCCTAAAGCTCTATCAGCTGGGTGTAGAGGTAGGAACCATCCCACCATCCTCCTGCATCTGAGCTTAGATAAGTTCCCATGAGTCAGTAGGGCTGACAGGTGGGAGAGCCTCCTTCCAGAGGCACCTCTATGCCCACCTTCATTTAGCTTCCCCCTAAAGACCAGGCACCTTAGTTCACCTTGAGCTATTTAAAAATCAGCTCAGTTAAGCAACTAGCAAATCAAACTCACTCTTGGAGTATTCTTCAATACTTAAAAGCAAGCAGCATAGGTACTGGCACACAGATTTGCCAAAAGTTACAGCTCCCATGAAGGGAATTGGGATAGGTGCTGAACAAAGGCAGGTCCCCATGTAGTATATTAGCTTTCCTCCCAGCCTTAAACTAGCCTCTAGTTTCACCCTAATGGTTCTCACAAGTACCACTCTTATTAGACCGAATTTTGCTTTAAGGCTCGTCTCTGAAAATATAAGGCTTCAAAAAAGGAGCAGAAACTCACTCACCTCCCTTGGGAAAAAAAAAAAACAAAAACAAGTTCAAAAAAGATCAAATAAAACATTATTAAAAACTGACTCGTTTTCCTGAGTGGAGGAAACAAAGAAATCACTGATAAGATCTAAAAGTTTATTGGTACTTGCAAGGGCAAGGGAAAAGAGACTCAGGTCAAGGGCAGGACACATACAAAGCAGAAATAAGGGCCATGCAGATGAACGCATTTCCCCAGCCTGAACAGCACTGGATTCAGACTGGCACTCTTGAGACATCTCTTCCCATCCCACAAGAGGTGGAGGGTGGGGGGGGAAACCAACTGCGTGAGGATTTACCAAGGCAAGGCACAAGTCTGAAACAACAGAAAGCTTTAAGATTGACTTGTAAGGAACGGTGAAATTCTTCCAGCCATAAGAGCGAGTTTGTCCCTTTCAGGATTTCAGTGTAAAAAAAAAAAAAAAAAAAAAAAAAAGAAGAGTTCAGCATTTGCTCCATTATAAGCAAAAGCCCATTGTTGCATCTGTGGCTCACCAGAAGGGCCTTAAAGCCCACAAGAGGCTGCCAGTTCTTTGGTCTACACCACAGCCATGGAGTCACTAAGCAACACCAGAGGCAGGATCGCTGGTTGCTAGGTTTCTTCTTGCTACCCAGCTGGTCTACCAAGCCAAGGACAAAGCTGAGTTTTCCTGCTATCCCTATAGAAAATACTGGGTGTGGGTTTTTAACAGGTTAACTTCAGCCCCCTCTTTCCATTCTCCTTCCTCTCTCCCCCTGCCTTTTCCCAAACACAAACTGCTAGTTCAAGTGAAAATAATGACACTCTCTATTGGCAAGATAGGCAGAGGGCTGAAATTCAAGAAGGCAGCATGATGGGGAGCTGTTGGCGCCTGCTGCTAGACAGCCCTGATGAACCCTGATAAACCGTGGGACACATTAGCCTCGGCCAGCTCTGCCCTGTACAGATGATTCTCAGCCCCCCTCCTTCCTCCCCCGTTGGGCAGCAGGGAAGGAAGAAATTCCCCCACTTGAACAGGTTATTAGCAGCAACGAGCCCAGCAAACCCTCATTTTCTGTTTTTGAGCCTAAATTCCAGCCAATCCAGCTGTAGGGCCCAGCCAGCGAATGTGATCTTTAATTTATAGCCTAAGAAGTTGACACATGAAGCAGGAGCCTATGGCTATACCTTTAGGCCCAGTACCAAGAAGAACAATTGGAAAAGCAGGTTGCCCACTTCTGTATTTCTTCATTATCTTCCTTCTCTGCCCAAACTATTTGTTGGGCCGGAGGCACAGCAACATGTCTGAGCAGAAAGGAGGCAGTCCCCATAGGCTGCTCTAGGTACAAACCCGTCCCCTTGGTAGCTCCACTGCAGTGATGGATCAGAGGGTTTCAAGACAGACAGATGACCTGCACATTGAAGGTCTCAGCAAAAATTTGTCTGAGCAAGGGAGTCAAGTACTTGGAAGATGGGAGAAGCCTTTGACAGCAAGAGTCAGACTGTGGGAGTTGTTTCTATCACTTGAAACAACCTGTCTAGGTTGAGCTACCAGAAGAGTCTTTCCTAGCTTCTGTAGATTAACAGGTATCTTCCCTTCAGATGATCCAAAACTGAGCTAGAGGCCACAGAACACTTTCCCCACCTTCAGTGGAGTAAGGCAGAAGGCCAGCTCCATTTCCATGGAGGACCGTAACTGCGACACCATCTGTATCCACAGCAGCCACCATCTATGGGAACAGATGCTGCAGGTTTAGGTTCAAAAGGATGGAAAGGAGGTTGGCGTCTCAACTAGAGATGTCACCTCCTTACCCTTGCTTCTGAGCTGGTGTAATTTTAACTGATCTTAAACCTTCAGGGACACACCAGCATATCCAGCCAGTAAGGCAGATCTTTACCAACAGCCTGACATTTTGAGCAGACCTCCAACCTAGCTCTTCTAAAGAAATACCACTCTTGAACATCAGTCACCACTAAGAAACCAGGATTATGCCATAACCAGGGACAAATTCATGCCCAGAGTTAATCCACCTTCATATCCTAGGTATGAGTTCTTAGCTTCAATGCATAACCATCAAGACATACTGGGTACCGCCCAGCTCAGGCCTCTTTTCCCTCCTCTCTCCAGAACAATAAAGACTTCTCAAGGATGCCCCCACCACGCACTCCACTCAGGAAACTCCCTGGGGCACATTGTTCGCACGTTTCTAATGACCTTCTCAAGCTACAATTGTTTATCCAGAGGCAGGGCCAGGAGGAGTGACTCCCTTGTCTCAACAGCTGCTCGCATCTGCTTGCCTGCCCTGACAGAGGGATGACTCCTCTGACACTGCATCCTCATGAGCGGCTGATGCTTCCCCACTGCACCTCTGAGACATGGAAGCCATAGCTGCTGGGCAGACTGCCAAGCACACCATTAAACACTATTACCTCCGCACGTGTTGCAATGTCACCAGTAATTGGCCATCCCACCCATCAGCACGAGAGCCGAGTTGCTGTTTGTAAAAGATCTCTCAGAGAGCAAGAGCTATTTCTGTTCATCCTAAATTCCTTGGCAGAAGCTACTCCAGGAGCCAGCCTGCGACTGCCAGAAGCTATCTTATCTCAACGAGTCCTGCCATTGAACTGCAGGATATCAGCAGTCATACACAGAGCACTTTGAAACCAGGTCTGGGTGCCAGGGGAAGGAAGGGAATTCAACTCAGCGACTCACATTGTGGTCTCTGCCCAAAAGCCAGTGAGAAGCACCAACACCACCTACCCAGCAAACCACACATCATTAACAAGAACAAAGTCTGCCGGGACTGGAGCCCCCCCCCCCCCCCACCCCCCAGCGTTTAAGTGTCAAGCTCGGACTACACGAAACACAGCTTCCTACAGCTGAGGGACCATCATCTGGCTGAAAAAAATACCAAACATTGACAAAAATAGGATTGCCAGCTAGGCCTAGTCCTCTAAAAACGGATGCTACCGATTACAGTAAGGAAAGCAAGCTCTTCTAAGCCAAGGTTAGTTACAATTAAAAATGGGAAAGTTGATAGAGACAGTGCAGAGGTACCCACCAGCTTCAGCCTGACACTCCAACAAGCCCACACAGGTTACTGCAAAAGCTACCTCATACCCCACAAGATACTGTCATCATTTAGGGCAATATTTCAGCAACACTCCGTAGGCTGTGACGTTGCTCATTGTTAGACAGGGCCAGATCCTATCAGGAAACATCCCTCTGTTGACCTCAGCTGCAAGCACGGAAAGGCAGTTTGACTTATCAGGGTCATCATCTGCATCATGAAGCATCACTTGAGGTCTAGTGGTGATAAGTTGCATAGTTGTGGTAAAGCACATAGACCATACCATAAGCCTGCAGTTTGGTCTCAAACACAGGACATGCTTGGTCTTACCTGAGATTCCTCAGTCCTGCTAGCCCGAGGAGTTTCTATGGATCCATTGATGTCCAGGGTGTCCTTCTGCTTATATTTCCTCATGATCAAGCTGTCCACAACCCAGAACATAATGGCCTTGGGGAGAAAGAAGTTACATGAATAGATTGCCAATAGAGACCAAAATACAAAGTCATTCAATGACAGCTATTTCTTCTCCTTTTGGTTTCTCCAGGTATCCAGCCTTGATCAACCTCATTTAATATCTAAATTAACCCTGCATCAAGTGTGTCCATGGGGATCAGATGAGTCAAATTCCTGAAGTCCCTTCTCATATAAATCCTACTGATTCCATAGTTGTTGAAGACCCTGAGAGAAAAAAAAAAAAAAAAAAAAAAGACCACGACAGTGGTTTCCCCCAGGATATAACCATTGAACCAAGCTCCATCCAAGGTTCATCTGCTCTGTCTGCACCAGTCCCTGGTCAGTTCTTCGAGAACCAGAGTTTGCTTTCAAATACAGACATGCAGCCTGGGGTGGCAGAGAGAGGCTGGTAGCAGAGGTAGGTAAACCCAACTTTGCCAACGCTGCATCCATTGCAATGCTCATGGTATGAGTTGAAAAAGAGTCGACTCACTCCTTGTCCAGGGGGCATCTGAATGCTAACACCTTGTTCTCACTTCTCATCTTAGCAGGAACTGAGCAGCAGGGTCAAGGATTACCCAGAATCAGGGGAACCAGGAAAAAGCTGAGCTTGCAAGAGGTTTTGCCAAACTAGTTTTGAGAAGATCAATAGTTCTGGGTAACCTGAACACCTTGCCTGGCTGTAACGCAATTTGAAGTCTAGCCAATTGGCTAGATTGGCAGATCACCAAAGGTCACCACTGACAAGCCATCCTATGGGAACTTAAAGGGCTTCGGGGCATCCCCATGCCCGTAGCTTGCTGTGGAGATGCAACCCTCAGCTAGAGCCCCAGCTTTATTCCAGGAGTCAGCCACCCAGCAGCTTGGACAAGGGAGCGGGAATTAGGAACAGAGACCATGGCAGGGCAGTAGCAACATATTTGTGTATTCATGACAACAAATAATATATTTGTTTCCACTTCCCTCCACCCTGTCCCAGCCACTTCAATTACTCAAGGCTGCCCCAAGCCGGTTCCTGTACATGCTCCCCATTGGAGGGGACCATAATTTCCAAACCACCCCACCCAGTGCTTGCAGAGACACTTACATTGACTATAAAAGGCACAACAAGCATGACCAGGATGAGCTCCAGCTGTGGGTTTGGGATGTAATCCAGGAGGATCTGCTGAAGCTGCAGAGGAGAAAGCATTTAGAAGCATTATTTGAACAGCTCTGTTGTGAGATCTTTGCTACAAACTGTTACCTTCTTACACCAGCAGTTTCCCAGCTCGGGCTCTGCAGCTTTTGCTTCAGCCCAGCTCTCCGTGATTCTTAGAAAGACTATATGGGCTATTCCTTTAGCCCAGCTGCCAAATACAGGACTTTGTACAGATCAAGAAATAAGTACTGCTAGTCTTTCTGTCACTACCCATGACAACTGGTGGGACTTGCCTTGGCTCCTTGGAGCCTAGCTGCAAAATAAGGACACAAGCCATGCGTGACAAGGGCGGAGAGGAATCCAGCAACATCTCTTGATCTAGCAGTGCGTGCTGCTGAACACGTTTGTGTTCAAGTCAGCACTGTAGACTACTGGGTTAGGACAAGCCCTTAACAGGAACAGATAAGTGCTCCCAGATCGCTGTAAATAACTCCTCAGTCAAGTCACATCAACCTGTGAGGTAGTAGGCACCACGTGTAAATGCGCTCAATACTGGAGTTACCCATCAACACCCAGAATTGTTTTTTATACCCACCACACTTATCTGCCACCACGCATGTGGCTACAACTGCCACAGGATTATTCTTCTTATTTTTTAAAAGAGAAATTCGTGATCAACACAATTACCATTGCATGGGCTACCATACAGAAGCAGTTAGGGGCAGGGAAGGACAGCATAGTACTGGGATAGTACTTTTGAAAATTAACCTCGAAGAGTCCCCCTAGTTTAGGCATGGGATCACAAAACACCAACATGAACTGACTTGACCAGACAATGTAGAAATCCTCTGGCAGAGGATGCTCTGGCCAGCCCAGCCCATTTCATCCTTCCAAGGATGGAAAAGAAAATTAAAGCAGCATCTTATTCCACTAGCTTTTGCCTAGCAAAAGAATGTACCAAAAGCCAAACTGTTATGAAAGTCATGTTTCCTCACACTTAAGTAACAGCTAATGATTACAGAAAGATGTCACCAAGTCACAAGGATTAAAGACCAATGATGATGACTACTACTACTAAGACAAAGCTGACAAGAAACAAGCTGCAACAGCTGTGGCTCAGGAGCTTACCTTTGTCCAACCAGGTATAAGCAGGACAAGGCTAATCACAGTCTTCTCAAAAACCATTATCAGCAAGTAGAGGATACACTGGCCAATCCAGGCAGCAGCTTGTGGAGGGTCACCTGGGAAAGCAGCATATTAAATCTGAGACAGAGGACAGGAGGAGACAGCCTTGCAGAAAAGTTGCCTCATGCTTGATGCCTGAGCTGATTAGAGAGACAGGGAAGTGTTTCCATATTGCAAGTTTTGCAGCGAGACAAATACTCAATACAAAACTTAAAATTAGCGGAGAGATTTTCTATCTATAGTTGTAGGAGCGCATGCCTGGGGTAAAAAGGTTTGTAGACCCAGCAGGGACCCCAAGTCATTACTCCCTTGAAGATCAAAACATACCAAGACCTAAGCTCATATCTTTCTAGTAAATATATATATATATATATATATAGTAAATTACTCGTATACGAGAAAATTTAGCAGACTTGCATCCCTTACTGGTTGCAGCTCATTTTGTATCTTTGCAAACTGATGTAGAGAAGTAAGTGCAGAAAGGCAAAGATGCACCCCACTTCCATTTGTGCAGACCCCCTTTATCAGGGCAGCTATTTGTCTTTCATACTGCAATCGTGCTTTTGAATTAAACTTGGCCATAAGCAAGACAGCTCTCCCTCACGAGACATGACATACACCACTACCACCACTGGCCTTTTGTTATAGAAGCCAATTCTCTTTTTCTACTCCTTTTAGGGCTAATTCTGAAATGGAGATGGCAATTAACCAAACGTCTGGTTAATTTAAAGGGCAAGCAAGTAACAAATTTCAGACATGACTCAAAGAGCCCTACCTACGTAGCAGATGCTAACACTACATGTATTTATCTGTCTCCTGTCCTGCTCTCCATTCCACCAACCTGCCTCTGAAATCCACGAAGAGGAGAAAACCACCACCATAAACTTCTTGCCTTGAATCTCCTCCCCCGTTACCTGTCCTTCCTAGATCAACAGCTTTGCTGGAGCAAAAGGCCTACAAGTGCCCTACAAGGCAGGCAGGCAGGCAGCTTCTGTAAGAGGGGAGATACACAGCTCTGGCCCTGCCTGAAGACCTGAAATTCCCTGTGTTTATCCAGCAACCCCAGCACTTGCAGACAATCCTGGGCTCTCAACAGCCACAGCCCAGTAGAATAACAACCGCTTAATGGAAAAGTCATTCCTGGTAACTCCAAGGAGACTGGATCAACTTTTATGAATCTTGGTGTAGAAAACAAATATGCTCTCCTCCACTTGGGGGAAAGGATACACAGCCTTGGAGATACATGTTATCCCTCTCCTTCAGCCACTGACGGACATTTGCCAGTATCCTCCCCATGGTGTTGAGCTACTTTGAGCTGGATGGATACAGGGATTTGAGGGGAGGAAGCCCTGCTTGTGCAAGGGGGCAAGTATCCCATCTCCTCAAAGCACAGACCACTAAAATCCTTTATATAGGGAAAGCTTGAAAGCTCAGCATCCTACTCAAATGGTTCCCTACAAGCATGTGTTACTTTGAGGCATCAGTCATTTGGTTTGCCCCTTCTCTGGTACCCTTTTGTCAAGGTACCAGAGATTTCATTGCTCTTCATCTTGGCGAACCTAGAAAAGTCCACAGAGATGGGTCCCACCTGACTTTTCCCCCACTCTTCCAGTGGATAGGAGCTTTGTAGGAGTAGTCACAAAATCCTGGAGCATTTTGATCAGAACGGCAGACTGATAATCCCCTTTGAATTAAAGATAATCCCAATAGCAATCCCCAAGACAAGATATGGCTGGACTGACTCTCCTCTATACAAGGACCAGTCAGCATCCTACACGCTCCTCTATAAAAATAAAATAAATCAATTATTAAAGACATCACCTGCAATTTGCTCCCTGCCAAGCGTTACCCATCCAGTTGCCAGCAATAGTCTGAAAATTTCTGGTCACCATTTTCATTAAGAGAAGCATAAATTTTCAGTCCTGAACAGAATTAAGTTTTTTGCTGATGAAGTGAACGGCTGGTTACGTGATACTTGCTGTCTGAGCAAGAGACAGGGGCTCTATCGCCCCAGGTTTTAGAGCAATTCACTCAAAAAGAATCAATGCTAATTAAATATGAATGTTTCCAATGGGGTACTCAGCAAGTAATAAGTAAAAGCATATTTGTATTGTTAACAACGGTAATGGTACCATATCTATTACATGTGCTTGCTTCAGCCCTCTGTAAGCACCCTGCCAGCTGGTTATCATCTTCCCAGGCTCATCAGAATATCGCAGGTCTGCAAAACTGAGCTACAGTATCTGGCTTAGGAAAGCTGCAGCATTTCCTCTTACTACTTGAATATAAAGATAACCTCTGGCAACACTTGTTTCCAGATAATCGGGCCGGAATTTGGAATTGCATCTGTGCAAGAGAACCCAACCCACTGTGAGATGCCGATGCTCGGCGTGCCATCGGATGGCAGCAGACTGGGAGCTCTGCCTCACTTCTCTCAGCACAATACTGTTGAGACGTGGCAGGGGAAGACACCACCAGCAGTTTGCAAAAGCACATTTATCCAAACCACTATGCAAACCTCCGGCCACAGAGACCAACAGCACATACCAGGGTTTAGTAAGAGCCAGTATCCAACCAAGCCCAACTCCAGGGGGATCTGCTTCCCAGCAAGGGCAAAATAGGTTTGCGTGTGTATTTGTCCTTATTCTGTCATTTGTTAGCAACATACCAAAACGTTTGCCTTGTTGCAAAGCTACAGCTAAGTAGAGGCATCCAGCTAGTGTCTCCATGGCAGAGACCTCAGAGTGATCACCTTGCATCCCAGCTTTTTAATTGCTTAAGCCGTGATTGAGAAGGAAGCAAAGGAAGGGAGAGGGAAGGACTGGGAGGCCAGGGGTGCAGAGAGGCTGCTGAGCTGGGAGGACAGCAAGCAGAGAGTGCCAGACCAGCAGGCAACTGCATGGAGAGGGGGAAGGAAGAGGGAGCCAGGAAGGTTATGTGTGAGTGCAACCAGCAGAGCCCACAGAGGATTTCAGAAAGCGCACGTCTCCACTCCCTGGCAAGCAACAGCTTAATGGGTGGTCTGTGGAGGAGACTGGAGCAGTGTTACAGGCAGCTGGGAATTAAAGGCCAGCATCAGAGACACTTTGATCCTCCTGAAGCGTGGAGAGCCTCTCCCAAATAGGCTCAGGTGCCTAGTTGTCTTTGGCACAGGTTAGGTATAGTTAGGCTTTTTGCCCCATACCCCAAGACTGACCAATTCTCCTACAAACCCCCAGGTTACCATTACCCATCAGAGCTCCAAGTACAAACAAAACAGGAAAACAAACATATTCATTGTGCCCTTCCTGCATTTGAACTCTTTTTTTTGTTCTG